GGGATACAATCATTGTCCCTGGAGTAGAAGGGCCCATTGTCACTCAGATTCGAGGCCTCCTTTTACCTCCTCCTATGAAGGAATTACGTGTGAAGGTAAGCCAAGATGGTGAGCATGGACATGGGGACTTCACAATGTTTGTTTATGCTGATGCCGTTCTCTTTGAGGGCAGTTTGGCTTAATGCAACACACATTTGTCCCTGTCCTTGCTTTATTACAGAAGTGTACATGGGTGACAGGATCTGTTTATCAGGCTAGGACTTTCCTAAGGATAGACAGCCTTGGGTGCAACATGAATAGTATTGAATAACAGAATTTCAGGAGGCAACCAGATCAAATAGCATTGTTGGATCCAGAAGCTTGCTATGTGATTTTTCCTGATTATAGCCTTGGCCTTTGTCCTAATAGTTAACCATAACAGTGTGTTCCTGATAGTAAACCACAGCCTTGTTTTTTTTGTTTTTTTGTTTTGTTTTTTAATAGTATCAATTTCTGGGCTTGTCTGGCTGCAGATGTATCTGTGCATGGTATAGAAGTGGAGTCATATTGCTCGCTGTTGCACCTGGCCCTTCTGAACTGAAAAATAATTTCAGATTGATTTTCCACTGAGTGACTTTGTTATGCTGTCCATTCTTCTGGGCGTGGAATGTGTGCGCTTCCATGCTGTGCCATGGACTTCCTTTCTGTTCCTTCTGCTGAGCTTGTGCCCGTTTTCCCCAGGGTGTGTGGGCCCAGCTCACTGTTGCCTCAGCACGAGTGACCAGTCACACTCTTCATTGCAGCTCTTCACTCTTCCACATCTGTGCCTGCTTTGTGACACCATCGCTTTCAAACTTTGCTGTTGGATTACATTTACCTCTGTCAGTATAGACACTGCTTTGTGTTTATGAACTGTTTATCCCCTTCCCTTTCAATGTCCCGCGTTTCACAGCTTTCACAGTTCAGAATAGTTGTGTTTTTACTTTTTATGTGTATAGCACTATCTTTTATTCTGATTTGTCTTTTCTGTGTTATTTTGAGAAACAAATACTTAAGTTGAATCAATTGAGTATGTTGTAGGTTTTTCTTATATAGAGTATGAGAACACTTCTCCTTCCAAGGTCACAAAATACAGTAGTGCTGCCACCATTCAGATAAATTCAATGAAAACTATTTTTGTCTCTAGAACCAGTATGAAAAGCATAAAGAAGTGGAAGCAGCTCAAGGAGTGAAGATTCTTGGGAAAGACCTTGAGAAAACACTTGCTGGTCTACCTCTCCTAGTGGCTTACAAGGATGATGAAGTCCCAGTTCTCAAAGTAAGTTCATTGATTGTGATACCTTTTTTTTTTCTCCAATGCTATTTGGACTACCCAGTTCCCCTCCCAGTGGCCTAGACTAACTTTGAATTCACGATCTTCCTGCTTCAGCCTTAACATCTATTTTTTTATTCACTATATTTTTATTTTAATTATAATATAATTAATCCCTTTTTACTTCCTTCCCTCCAGCTCCTCCTATATAGTTCTCCCCCTTCATTCTCCCAAATTGATGACCTCTTTTTGTTTTACACACACACACACACCTTCTGAATTCACTTAATGGTGTGTGTGTGTGTGTGTGTGTGTGTGTGTGTTTGTGCGTGTATGATTTGTATTGCATAACCAATTTGGTATTTGTCCGTGCCTTCTATCAGCAGTCATTAGTTGTCTGTAGTTCATTGTCTAGGAGTAGGACCCCTGAGATTGCCCCCTTTCTTGTTACCAAGTCTATTGGTTATTGGGATTGTTCAGGTCTTATTTAGGCAGCCATACTGTTGAGCTATAATGGATGTACCTTCCCTGTTATTTATAGGAGATGCAGTTTCATGGCAAACTTCCTGGTCCTCTGGCTCTTACAGTCTTTCCACTCCCTCTTCCATGATGTTCCCACAGCTTGGGTTCAGAAGTTACGTATCTGTTGCAACTGGGCTCCCCATGATCCATTGATCTCTGAAGTATGACTGATTGTGCTTTTCTAATGGCTTCTGTTTGCTATAAAGAGAAGCTTCTTTGATGCAGGGTGAGAGCTACACTTACCTTTGACTCTAAGGATAACCTTTAGAATGCTGTTAGGAATCATGTAGGGTAGTCAGCTAGGTTTCCAGGACCAAGCATGAGTTTCCTACTGTTGAGTGGACCTTAAGCCCCTAGACCGCTTTTTTACCACCAACATATGAATGCCATTATTGGAAACTTTTAGGGACATCTTGTTAGGCTGGTTATTGTTGTGGTTCATAGGCATCAGTGCTAGACAGGAGTTTTGGTTGCTTCCTTGGCAGCTTGCATAGCACCTTGTGGTATAATGGAAGCTAGATCTCAGGGAGGCTTTCTGGATAGACCCAGCTCGACTTTTCAAATCCTGTGTCTTAAGTGTGTGTCACCTTCAGCAATAGGGTCTCCCCTTTAGCCTCTGGGAGACAGCCAAGGTCAAAAGCAAGAGCCTGTACTGTTTGGGGAGTCTCTGTACTGTCTTGACCAACAACTCATGCCTGGGACTCCAATTTCTGTTAGTCTATTGCTCTTATGGAGAGCATTGTCAGCCCATGGGGCATAATTTCATGTGTGCACATACATACATATTCGTGTGGTATTATTGTTTGGGTCCTGTTTAGGCAGCCATACTGTTGAGATAGCATGGACATAATAACTTCTCTATTATACTGTTGAAGTATCAAGAGCATGACCTGATTCTACCACTGAAGTGGCCTACAGGCTTGTAGGAGCGATAGTTTATTGATTAAAAGCACTTTACTCTTGCAGAGGACACAGGTTTGATTTCCAGCACTCATGTGATGGCTCACAACCATCTATAACTCTAGTTCCAGGATATCTGACACCTCTTCTGACCTCCATGGGCACCAGGCATGCATGTGGTATACATACATACATGCAGGCAAAGCATTCATACTCATAAATACACCTAATTTTTTAATAAGGGGTATGTGGGTGTGTGTATACTTACATGTATTGTATATAATTTTAGGTCAATATAAAATATCCCTTAAGGCTTTATCAAACATCCTCTTGTTCTTTCCTCTGTATTGACCTCCCTCCCCTTTCCTTAATTACAGCCTTCTCATATTAACCATAAGCTGCTATTCTCCTTAACCTCTGAGTTTTGTTGTGTCTCAGTAGGACATACGTTAGGGATGCTCACTACAGTGAGTACCTTGTAAAGGATAACGTCTTCTCTTTTTCACAAAATTGGTTGCTTTCTAATTATTTATACTATCATATGAATTTGCATACATTTCTATGCCTGATACTAAATGTGCATTTTATCCTAATAAAAAAATAAGCCAATGATTTGTGGTGCTCAGTTAGTATGCTTGCACACATGAAGCCCTGTGTTGGATCTCAGCACTGCATAAAAACTGGCAGAGTGGTGCATTAATGATCCAGCACCTGGCAGGTGGAGGACGTTAGATTAGAAGCTCACGGCTATCATTAGTTGCACCAGTAGTTCAAGGTGACCCTGGACTTCATAAAATCCTGTTTCAAAAATGGGGGTTGGGGAACAAAAGTTCTTTAAAAATAAAGTGGGCTGAAGAGATGGCACAGCAGTTAGGAGCATATTGACTGGATCTGAGAACCCATCTGGAAGCTCTAGGGGGATCCACTGCCTCTAGCCTTGAAGGGAACCAGCACTTACATGTATGTATCCACCCCCATTTTTTCATACATTTTTTTTTTTTTTTTTTTTTTTTTTTTTTTTGGTTTTTTCGAGACAGGGTTTCTCTGTGTAGCTTTGCGCCTTTCCTGGAGCTCACTTGGTAGCCCAGGTTGGCCTCGAACTCACAGAGATCCGCCTGGCTCTGCCTCCCGAGTGCTGGGATTAAAGGCGTGCGCCACCACGCCCGGCCTGTTTTCTTTTTTAAAGCACATGTCAGTAGTTTTTTTGGGGTTTGGTTTTTTTGGTATGTTTGTTTCATTTTTTTGTTATAAGTCTTACTATGTAGCTCAGGCTAGCCTCAGATTGTTGTGTTGTCTAAGCTGGTCTTGAACTTACAGTTTTCTTGCTTCAACCTTCTATGTGCTGGGGATGTGCCACTGGCTGTTTTTAATTTATACGTAGAACTTAAAGGGAATCTTAATTTGGTACCAGTAGTCATTTTAAAGCCTGTTTTTATGACGGGAAGATCAGTTGGCCCATATTCAATGAAAAGTATGCTATAGTCATAGTTTATTTGCTTGCCAAGGAGAAAATAAAGCTGTTGCGAGCACATAGCTGCTAGGTACACAGGCCTGTAGGTTACCTTTAATATATAGGTAGAATCAGGTCACATCATTAGAGAATACACCAGGCCTGCTTATAGAGTGGATTTGTCTTTAGTGAGGTAATGAGTTAGGTGATTTCACAGTTGAAACAGTTGAACTTTGGGGCTGCCACTCATCTGTGTGGTTCTGAGAAAGGATGACAGTCTTCCTGGCCATCTGCTTTCTTTATTAAGTGCTGTTGAGATTTAACACACTTCCTATTTTAGTCAGCTTAAGGCTGAGGGATGAAATGGGTTAGGATAGGGCTAGGTTGTGGTCATATAATCTCTCTTCTAGAACAGACTGCCATGCCTTAATACCATGTTTCAGGTGATTCATTAATCAGAAGGAAACAGTTTGATTCTGGGCTGCTGAAGATAGTTATATGCTTTGTCATGTTTGATTTCTTTTCAAGGATGAATTGATCCATGAGTTAAAGCAGACACTAAATGCTATCAAATTAGAAGAAAAAGGAGTTTATGTCCAGGCGTCTACACTAGGCTCTTTAGAAGCTCTTCTTGAATTTCTGAAAACATCAGAGGTGCCAGTAAGTAACTACCCAGCTTTGTAAGCATGTGGTAGTCATGCTGTGTTGTTACCATTACCTGCTGCATGCAGGTAAACCTGGAAACTCTCCTTTCACAGTATGCGGGAATTAACATTGGCCCAGTCCATAAGAAAGACGTTATGAAGGCTTCAGTGATGTTGGAACATGATCCGCAGTAAGTATTCTTGCTTCTGATTGTCTTCAGGGTGTTTGGTGTGACTTACTACTTCTCACTCACTGAGTGATCATTGATGTTTCCATATTTCAGGTATGCAGTGATTCTGGCCTTTGATGTAAGAATCGAACGGGATGCGCAAGAGATGGCTGATAGTTTGGGAGTTAGAATCTTTAGTGCAGAAATTATTTATCATTTATTTGATGCCTTTACAAAATACAGACAAGACTACAAGAAACAGAAACAGGAAGAATTTAAGTAAGTTATTGTCTTTGTTTACTTTGAATCTTTGGTAATGCAGCTGGTGGAGGATTTCTAAATACTGACAAGGAATGCAGACAACAAAAGAATGGCATTTGTTTATGTTCCAGATACTGCATCCTGCATCCTGAAGTGGTGTGTCGAGGGCAAATACTCCTCTGTGTGTGTGTGTGCTCAGATCTTCTCTGGGGCCTTTCAGTTTATTAATTGAATTATTAATTGAAAATTAATAAACTGTGTAAACTAGGAAATACGCCAAAAGATTCTAAGGGAGACAAGGCCATTCCTCTGAGGACCTTCCAAGTTGGTTGTATCCATACTTCCTGAGGAGTTTGCAAGGCCATAGCTAGGCTTCCTCCTTCCGGGCCTTTCAGGGTATCTGTCATTGAGAGGCGTTCAGTAAGTGTGCATGAAGCAGTTGCAGAGAATTGGCTGTGACTGGGGCAGGCATCTCCTCTGGGCCTCTTATTGGAAGTAACAGTCTGAAGCAGAATGAGTAGTCACGAGTTTGGGGTGTGCACAGGCAGAACAGCACTTAAGATAACCAAGCCACACTGGCAGAGTATATTTCAGAGAACATGGCAGTTAGAAAGTTGGAGAAGTAAGAGGGTCCTCATGTTACAGGAATAACCTCATAGGTCATGGGAAAGATTGAGTTTTGGGTTTAATTATTTTTCCTTCCAAGTTCATGATCCCATTGGGGGTTACTCTCTAGTTACAGGGACCTGGGTGGTTAGGGAGCTGGTAGCAGGTGCTTTGCCAGGAGGCTTCTATTGTCTAGGAAAGAGAGTACCAGGGTTGCCTAGTGGACAGTAGCTCAGGACTGAAATTGGCTGAATATGCTTGCAAAATGTGATTGACAAGGAAAGTAACCTCTTTTTGGAAAACACTTGGAATATGGTGGAAAAAATCATATATAGATGGTTGACTACACACTGTAGACTACTGTTTTAACAAATCAGCAGAAGTTATGCCCATGTTCTAAACTCCAGGATATGACTGGCAAAAATGTTCATCTTCATGTGTAGGTTCCATCCTTCAGTTTGAGCACAAAATGTTTCTTGATGTAGCTTTGAGAGAAAATGGGCTTTTCTCAACAGCTGCAGAAAGTGCGTTCATTCGTCTAACAAACCTCATGTTCATCTATATTTGCTTTTTTAATGATTTTGTGAGCTTGAGATTTTTTGATTTCTCTTTACTTCCAGGCACATAGCAGTATTTCCCTGCAAGATGAAAATCCTCCCTCAGTACATTTTCAATTCTCGAGATCCAATAGTAATAGGGGTCACTGTGGAGGCTGGTCAAGTCAAACAAGGAACACCTATGTGCGTTCCAAGCAAAAATGTAAGTTCCCAGTCTACATCAATGTTCTTATCCTAACAGGGGGAAAAAAAAAGGAACAGAATTTTCAAAGTGTCCAATCTTCTGTAAGTATGTTTACTCTGAGCCCTGGCTCTCAGTATCTTCCCCTAGGTACCTTGACTTAAGTAATGCCTTATTTGCAATCATCATTCATCTCATGTGTCTGCTTATGCCATTCCTAGGCCTGGCTTGGACAGATTCATGTTGGAATCGAAGTTGAGAGTACCCCTTTGTAAAGAGTCTAGTTCAAATGTGTTATGGATTTTACTTAGATTTGTCTGTTCCTTCCTCACTAGATAAGACTTACTGAAAAGCAATACACAAGGGGGGCCCCAACACTTGCACTGTGCAGGTCTTGGTGACTTTTATCCCAGTGGACTTGGTTATGGTATTCATTTCAATATTTGCTTGAGTTATGTAAATGGCTACAAACTTGTATTCTCTTTCTACTCCCCAGTTTTACTACAGAGCTCTCACTGGCCTTAGGAGGATGTGGTAGTTACTCATTATGCTTAGCGTGCCCGGTTTGGACAATGGGCACTGGTCATGGTGTTACCTATTGTCGACACATGGCCTCTAAAGTCTTCATTTTGGGATAGTGATATGTTTTCTATGCTCATCGAGTATTCTGCCTGCCTAGGTGGCAATATACTTGCAGGTGGCTCTGTAAATCAAATGCTTTTCCACTTATAGCCTTCCACCTTTGTTCAGAGCTTATTTTCCAACTGCACGACCACCTTTCTGACTTGATTTATGACTTGGTGTATGCTGTTCCCCTTCTATCCCAACCAAGAGTTTGTAGCAGGACCACAAAAAAATGACACTGGATCATGAGACTTGTAAATTTTCAGAGCATGAAGGATTATTCTGGTTTTGCTGCCATCTCATGAGGCGCAGGGTAGATGGGGGTTGCTGAGTTCTACTGTGGAGACTGTTGGGTTATATTGAAAGTTCAGCTGTCCGTGGGGCCTATGGAGAGCCTGAATCTGACACTCATCTTTCTGTTTTTGTAGTTTGTTGACATTGGGATAGTAACAAGTATTGAAATAAACCACAGGCAGGTGGATGTTGCAAAAAAAGGACAAGAAGTCTGTGTCAAAATAGAACC